TTCTTCTATAGCCTTTAGCACTAGGCGTATATGCTGTTTATGCTTTAAAAGGCTATTACTATAGATTAGAATATTATTAATATACATAGTATAGAACATGTCTAGGTAGGGTTAGAGCAAGTTGTTTACAAAATGTTAAAAAGTACTAGGCGTGTTAGCTAAGCTAAAGGGCATTACTAAGTACTTAAATAGTCTATATTAGGTTTAAAACACTATTAGCTACTTATTACTCTTTACTATTCTTAGCTTATTAAAGGTAGTAATAATATCTAACTTTATAAAATACTTTACTTTACTTAGTTAGCTTAAAGTTTCTTATAAAAAAAGAATTAAGTATTAGTTTTTAATAGTAACAGTATTTAGTTTTTAGTAGTTAACATAAAATTAAAGCCTACTTCTAAGTTTCTTTATAAATAGTATAAGTAACACTACTAGTAAGAAGCTAGCTTAAATAAACTTTTTTTTTAAGTTTTTATTAAAGTATTTTTAGAGCACTTTTAATTTATTTAGTAACATTCTATATAGTAGCCTATAACTAGGTTGTTTGCTAGGCTTAAAAGTTATCTAGTAATTATATAGATGTTATATTAAAAGCTTATTAGACTTATCTTAAAAAAAATATATAATAAGTTATAGTAGTTTTAAGAGACTATTATCTTTAAGTTAGTGCATTTTTAGAGAGCTAGAGCTTAGTCTATATTAGAAATTATAACTGTGTAGATTTTATAATCTAGTTGTTAAGCTAGGGTTATAAATAAAGTAGGTTCTATATAGCAGATGTCTATCTACTGTTTAAGTTCTAGTTTGTGTTTAAATTAAGTAAGTAAAGCTTTTTTAAAAGCTTTTTTTTTTAAGTTTAAGTAGTTATTAAATTATTTTACATAGCTTATTTTAGTAAAAGGCCTAGCTTATTAGCCTTACTTAAGTAGTTTTTCTTTAGGTTATTAAAAAGTAAGTCTAGAAACCTTCTGTATTAAGTGCTACTTAGGTGTTATTTAGGTGTAAGTGTAAGTATATATTTTAGCATTAGAAAAAGTTAAAGTTTAGAACTTACTTTTAGTAATTAAAGGCAACTTTATGCTAATATAGCTATAGTTATTTTAGGATTAGGTTATAATATTTTATATTTATTACATAAAGCTTAATCTACTTCTTATAGTGTTAGTAAGTAATTATAATAGTTATAGTATAAAAGATAAAACCTTTTTTAAGTTATTTTCTATTAAATCTAGTTAGGTAAATTATTTAGGTAAGTAGTGTTAATTAGAGATTTAGTTTATGCGCTAGTTCTTTATTAATGTAACCTATGCTGTTTACTTTTAAGTTAATAAGAGCTTATATTAGAGCTAATATAGTTTTTTATTATAAATATATAGGAATATTAACTTAGTACTTTTAGTTATTAGTAGGGGACTTAGCTTATAGGTTAGCAGAGATCTAGTGTTAAATTAGTTCTAAGAGGCAACTTAGCTCTAGAATAAGCCTTTTTACAGGCTTTTACTACTATAGCTGCAGCTACGTTAAGAGTAGCAAAAAAGATTAAGGCTTAAATATAAGTTAAAGCCTTTATAAAAATAAGATTAAAATAGTAAAGATTTTTAATAAGTGCTAGTAGCGCTACTTACACAGACTTAAAAAAAAGAAATAGAGTAGTTTTAAAAAATATAACTATACTTACTATACTTAAAGTATTAACTTTTTTTTTTATAATCTTTACACTTTCTAGAACTAACTAAAGTATAATTTAAATTAATTTTTATTATGTTAGGGTCTTTATTTATAACTGCGCTAGTTTAGGGGTGTATTAAGGCTTATATAGAGAGGAACCTTATGTTATTATTGTAGGTAGCAATAAGGTTTGCATACGCGTTAAGGTTGTTTAGAAGGGGTTTTTTTACTATAGCGCGTTATAGTTTAGTTAAGAGGGAGTTATATAAGGCTATAATTAGACCTATCTTATTTAGGCCTATATTAGATGTAAGTTAGTAGAACTTAGTAAAGTGTAAAGTAAAGCTTTTTTTTTATTATAGAGTGTTTAGGTAACTTAGTGTCACAGTATCCTCCCTAGATCCTAGACATAACTGTATTAGACGCGTACTAAAGTATTATTAGTGCACGTCTGACATAAACACAACATAACATAGACATAAACTTAAGCATAAACTGCCTTAACACTAACTAAACCTAAAACAGGCTTAATTTATACCTAAAGCGCTTAGACTTCTAAGCTAAGTATTTAATTACTAATTTCTTTCTAAACCTTCCTATTCCTTACACAACGTCTTGTACCTACTATAATACCTCACGTAGTAATTAAACTAGACCTCTGTAAAGCTCTATAACCTTACTTGTGCATAATTATGACACTTAGGGCTGTTAACTTTTTATTTAAGTTTTTATAAGTTACTTATAAAAACACTATAAATTAATTTAGGTTAATAATATTTTTATTTATTAGTAAGTTAATTAAAGCTGTTATGTTGTAGTTAAGTTAAAAGTAGGTGTATAGTAACTAAAAGTGTTTAAAGGGGAATTAGTTTATATTTCTTTTAAGTTTATATTAGAGCTTATGTAGAAAGAAAAGTAAGTCTTTTTATTTTTTATTAAACAGTAAAGGATTAGAGAGTTAGTTAGATTTTATTACTAAGTTAAAAAAGTTATAAGTTGTAAGTAGTGTTAAGTAGAAAAGAGTTAAGCTATCTCTAGACTTTTAGGTAAGCTTTAAGGCTAGTAAGTTTTTAGTTCTTACTACTATAATAAAAGTTAAGGCAAAAATAGACTGCTTAATAATGTAAAGCTGTTTTTTAAAGTTTTTTTAAAAAGCTTTAAAGCTTATAATGTAGTAGCTTTTTTATAAAGTAAGTGCTTTTTAGAAAGCTTCTTAGCTTACTTTAATAGCTTAAAGTTATATAAGTACTAAGCTTATTAGATTAGATTTAAAGGCTATTCTTAGCTAAAGTTTTAACACAACATAATGTTATAATTATGCATAAGTAAGGTTATAGAGCTTTACAGAGGTCTAGTTTAATTACTACATAAGGTATTATAGTAGGTATAAGATGTTGTGTAAGAAATAAGAAGGTTTAAAAAGAAATTAGTAATTAAATACTTAGCTTAAAAGTCTAAGCGCTTTAGGTATAAATTAAGCCTGTTTTAGGTTTAGTTAGTGTTAAGGCAGTTTATGCTTAAGTTTATGTCTATGTTGTGTTGTGTTTGTGTTAGACGTGCACTAATAATACTCTAGTACGCGTCTAATACAGTTATGTCTAGGATCTAGAGAGGATACTGTGACATATTATTAGTTAGCACTAGCCTTAATAATAAGCTTTAATTAAGAGTTTATAATAATCTAAATATTCTAACTATCACGCCTAGCCCTCTTTAGTCTTTTGTAGGCAGTTTTATAAATAAAAATCTATAGATTATAGGCATCTACCTCTAACATATGCATAAGCTTCTATAATAGGGTTAGGTCTAGGTTTAAATTCTAGTTACGCTGCAGCTAAGTACTTAAAGTAAACTCTAAGTTATAAAAGTATAACTACGCGTAGCTAGCAGCAACCCTCTAAGCAGGCTCTAATAGACTCTATAAGTAGTAAAGTTTCTCTATAATCTAAAATATTCTAACGCTATTTCTACACACATTGCAATCTGTAGCAGTGTAGTTAGCAGAAGTAAAGGCTAGAGAAGCGTTATATATATAAATATTATTATAAAAATGTGCACTTTTTACATAAAAACTATTTAATAAACTTTAAATAATAACTAGTAGGTTCTAATAAAACTTTAAATAAATATCTTTCTAAAGGCAGTAAAACCTATATTTTAGCTAGCTAGTAGTAGACCTAGCTAAATGTTTATTAATCTAATAATAAGCACTACATTCTATACACATAGCAGTAGGATCGCGCATTAGGCTAAGATTAATAGGCAAATAGTAAAGTACACTTATAATATATGTAGCTAGGCATAGTTCTTTAGTATTAATTAAATTAAGCTTAAAAAATATAAAAAGCTAAAAAGTAAATGTAATTAGAGTATATTAAAACATAGTAAATAGCAAAGAAGTTAACTAAAGTTAAGAGTTTAAACAGATAAAAAGAAACAGAGGTGTAAAAGTTAAAGTAAACTAATTAATGTTTAAGTAAATAAATAAAAAAGTAAGTGTAAATATTAAAAAAATATAACTAATTAAAATAGAATTAAACATATTTAAATGCAAAAAAGTAAGAAATATAGTTTGTATTTATTAGTAATAAAAAGATTATTCTTTACAAGTGTTGTACTATACCTTTTATGTTAGTAAGTTAGAATTAATTTTCTAAAAAGTGTGTTATTTTCTCTAGAATAATTTAGTAATAATAAAATAAAAAAAATATAAATAAATAAATCTTTTATACTGCTAATAATGTTTATATAAAGTACTATGTTAGTTAGTTGCAAAGTTAGACAATAGGCAATAGGTTTAACATTCCTTGCAGTAAGGCTAGGAAGACATACTAAGCCTAAGTAACAGTGTTAGCAGATATCTATAAATATCTAGCTAGAATTAGACAGATATAACTAAGAAAAGGGGACAGTACTAGAATACAGACGCTAACATACTAATTCTAGCTTAGCAACACCTTAAAACTATAAATAGTAACAAAAAGGTAAACTTTAGCCTACTAATAATAAAACATAGCATTATAATATTACATTAAAACACCTAGAATATAGTAATAGACCTAGTAAAATATATTTATTTGCCTTAAAAATCTAGAATATTTATAAAAGTAGTAGAAATTTTTATAGGCTAATTAGACATTAATCTAGCCCTTTTTTAAACTAATAAGAGAAAAGGCTTGGCAAGATGTACAGTGAATAATAGAGATGACACCCCATGTCCCATGTCCTATGTCCCTTTCGCTGACTAACCTAATCCTTGGCATGGATCGGCAAAGTCCCCCATGCAATCGCCGACCGAACTTTTTTCGAGCTCCAACTCAATGGGATCCCCACCAACGGCTTCCTCAATTCTCAATTCCCTCACACACCAACCCTCTATCCCCCCCAACTATGGCCCCAATACAAACAACGGACCCCTCCCTCTTCCACATAGAATCAATCTCCCAATACGTCTCTCTCCCGCCGTCTTCACTCGCAACACCACTACCATCCCTCTGCGCAGCGCTCTTCTCACCACTGCTGCTCACCTATTTCTCGCCTGCACGGGGAATCGTGCTTTCATACTCAAATCTCCGGCTTGCAGATGAACCTCCAGCGAGGAAGAAAACTCGAGCCTCATCACATTCCTACTCACCCTCCCACTCACCCTCCCACTCCCGGCGCAGACGCGACCGCCAATCACCCTCACCTGACGACGACTCCAACGCATCAGATACGGAAAACCCAGAAGAACATCCCCTCCTCTGCAAAATCACCGACGAATACAATGCCGCCTTCCTCTGGGCAACCGCCGATTTCCTAGTCTTCCGTCCACGCACAAATGCCTGGATAGAAGGACGCATTACACACCAATCTTCGTCGCATATCACGCTCGCATTTTTGAATTCGTTTCCAGTGGCGGTTATGCGGGAGGGGATACCGTTGGGGTGGGCGTGGGTGGCTACTACTTCCCAGTCTGCCGCCGCGAACGAGAAACAAAGTCGAAGGAGAGGTAGAGGAGTTGGGGAGGGACATAGGGGTGATGGCTCTGGTGCAGGATATTGGATCGGCGACGACGGCATGCCGATCTCTGATATCTTAAGCATCCGGATCCGGGACTTCGAGGCTAAAACTAAGAGTGCGGGAGGTAAGGGACATTTTCGGATTGAAGGGAGTCTATTGAGTGTAGAAGAGGAGAAGGAAGTGGAGATAGAGAGGCAGAGGCAGAGGCAGGAAAAGGGGAAGAAACAGACTAGGGGGATTTTGAGGAGTCCCGAGGGGAGGGGCATTGCAGTGGAGGATGGGGAGGGGATGGACGTTGACCCGGAAGGAAGTCAATGAGGATATCGGTTTGGTAATAAGGCTTCGAAGGCTTAGGCTAGGCGTTTACAGGATTGTTTTAGAGATGGATTGGAATGTATGACGGCCTCGGGTATATTTGTGGCTGGAAAGGTAGGCATGCCCACATTCAGCCTCGATCTTATTCGGAATGAGAAACCCAGATGCGCAAACGTGAAAGGTCAATGCTTGGAGTATATGTCTATCTACCTTCCACACTGCACTAGATACCATTCATTCGATACCACGACCGTACGAAAGCGGACTTTTCCAGAACGCCGTTTCTATGCATGTATGCAACGCTTGACCCATAAACAACTACAATCACAAGCCCCAGCTCACTTCGCATCAATTCTCCACTCCTGCCTTCTCTTCAAAGATAATCCTTCTTCCTCCCCGTCCTCGTATACTGATTCAGGTGCCACTCCACATCCCCATCTTTGTTATCCAACAGCCCACTCCTAATCTCAAACAACCTCATCGTAAACCTCGGACCCACCTCCGCAAGCCTTTAGATTTCATAATTAGTAACAAAGTATGTGCTAGATGTTAAATTTTATGCAAGGAGGATGACCTACTCCACACTCTGAAACCCCGTTTTCACAAAAACATGATGTCTGACCTCCACACTATCCTCGATATTCTTAAACGTAACGACCCGATTCCTGTACTAGTCAGTCCCATACATATAGACTGTTCCTGGAAGACATACCCAACACCCGCCGTTAGCTCCCTGGGTGGGAAAAGATGCTTTAGGATCTGCACTACCCTCGTCCCAAGCTTACTCGTAAACCCTTCGAAAATGAGATGCGGATAGCTCTCACTAACAGTCCCGCGCGAAGCATTAGGTATATCCGCGCGCAACACTACATTATGCAACGAAAAGCTCGCGGTCGGTCCATGCGGGAAATGCGATATTGTAACCGCCGTCGGAGTCCCTCGATGTTCATGCAACAACACGATATCGGACAACCCCCCACTCTGTGCACTGGATACAAGACTCCCGAGCACCAGATTCCCGCGATTAAGCCTTATACTCGTCGGTAGCAACAACCGTATCTCTTTCGCAAACGTACCCAGCCTCGAACTAGGGTCTCTAGACGTGGTGACAAGGATGCGGGGATCTACGATGCCGGAGAGTTGGGCGTATTCGTCGTCGAGGGCGAGTTCGTCGTCTATACTGCGTTCGGCGCGGGATTCATCGTATTTGTAGTCGCTGCGAAGAGAGGAGTCGTTTGCGATGGACGGGTCGAGGGGTTTGCCAGATGCCAGCGAGGCTTTAAGGGCTGATCGTTTGGAGGCGAGTTCAGCGTCCCGCAGGGTGAGGGCACTACAACCGAATTTTCAGTGAATGCTATAGACATGACAGCGCCATTTAGAAAATACCGGCGGTAGAGGTAGTCCCGGCGTTCACGGGCTTGTTTGCGCTGGGAGGGTGATGTTAGTAGACTGTGAATGGGAGGATGAGGTAGAGGGTTTACTTGCTATCATTGTGTTGATAGGGTTTCGCTTTTATGGAATTGAATTAAGGAAAAGGGTCCGAACGGGTTCTAAATGGGCGCAACTTTAGCGTGAGGTTGCGAATGTACGAAGACGAACTTTTGATAAGGATCTCAGTTGAAAAATGTAGATTAGGGTGCATCGGAACCCAATCCTAAATAGGTATGGTAGCCTCAGCGCTCAGACTTGTGGCACAAAACCCAGGCAGCAGGTCACAAAACCCTTCCACTTCCGAAGACTCTACCGCACAGTCCTCGCCAGAGTAGTGTATCGCAGCCTTTCAAGTTCCGTCGCTAGCGAAACCAGCTTCCCTTCGAATGCGAATGTACTCAAGTTTAAGATCGCCGTTCCCATTCTTATATTTCTGGTAAAGCGCCGCTACTTTAGGCAGTAAAGTGAATTGCCACTGTGCGAGAGGGTACTTCTCCAGCACAGTTTGAGCTCGCAGCCCTAAGGCCGGAGCCGGTCGGCCGTCCTCTTTGCTCGCTATGGCGGCATCAAAATAGTTTCATAACCGTTATCTTACCGTAACGTAGTCAAACTAGGCTCACAGGGTCGAACAGCTATCCTGCGAGTTCGAGTTAAGATGAGCACCTACCTACTTCAGCCCACAATACAGCAGCTACTCTCAGCCGTTTAGCAAGCATACCGCCCACCTTCAACCTCTCCTTCTTTGCATAGCTCTGCTCATAAACGACTCCAAAAGCTACTCTCTTTCGCGGTCTTTCAATCCGCATCAGACGACCGTATTTGCTTCTTTCCTTGGCCACCATCGCCCAGTAATAGCTTTGCGTGGAAAGCATTTTACGTAACACTTCTCTACACTACCGGCATTAATCGTCGTCCTCCTTCTCACTACAGAGAGCTCCTGTATGAGTTTCTACGAACCACTTGAATAATGTCCCCACCTACTGTGGCACGAGAGAGCGTGTAGGTATACGGTCCATATAATTCAAAGTACGCTCGCTAATACTTCTATCCGCTTTAGCAACGACCTCTGGGCTTGTGCAGCAGCACAGCTATCCGACGATGATAAGCGAAATATAAACTTCAGTCGCCCTGATAAGCTCAACATCATCACAGAACTCCACGCAGAAACCGAAAGATCCAAGCAAAAGTCTATAGAGTCAAGATGGAAGTACACTCGCAAGAGCGGAGAAACTGTGATAATAAGGGACGTATTTGAGAAGATTGTTCGATGGATTGACATCTTCAAGCAGGTTGGGGATGTTGCAACTCAGTATGATCCAGTGCATGCTGCTCTTCCTTGGGCAGGGATTCGTTTTGTTTTGCAAGTATGTGGCAAGGTGCTGTCTAAACTTCTAAGGAGGAAGCGGCTGAAATGTCTGCAGATTGCGGTCAACGATTCCAACAAGCTCGCGTCAGTAGTAGAAGGCCTTGCTTGGATAGCAGAGTTAATATGTCGCTACTCCGTTACTGAAGCCCTATATCTCCAGGGCGTATCAGAAGCAACTAAAGAATTGGAAAGAGCTTTAGTCAAGCTGTATGCGAAGGTCTTAAGCTATTTATCCAAGGCAAAGCAGTATCTTGAGAAGGGAACTGCCAGTTTGTATACTAGTTTCTCTAGTAAAGCTTAGTAACTGACAGATGTAAACAGAGAGGATGCTCAAGAATGGACTCCTTGCTGAGACACAGCTTGATTCATGCTTGAAAGATATCCGCGCAGCGGAAACTGATGTTGGCCGAAGTGTGCCTTCTGTGGATAGAAATGGTTGGTATAAAAGGCACTAGATGATTCTGTGACGCTAAATATACCTCCTAGACAGGATCCGCGACCACGCAGAGCTGAAGGATCTGCTAGCACGCATGGATGCGCCGCTGCGAAGGGTGAACCATGATCTGAAGAACATTGACGACTATCTTCAAGGCTGGTACTGTACTAAGCTCGTAAAGCTATGGCTGATTGATTCCAGCATCGAAGCGCACAACCGTTTTGCAGTGGCTCTCCCCTGAACCGTATATGAAATATCACAACCAGGCCAAACAGGGAGTACTTCCAGGAACTGGACAATGGCTTCTGTCAGACTCTATCTTTAAGAAATGGAAGGAAGAGAGTGCCTCCTCTATCCTTTGGCTACATGGTATCGTTGGGTCAGGGAAGAGTAAGATGGTGTAAGTTGTCCCTATATCAAGTTAAAACTAGTGTTATAATTGCTTATATTCCTAGGTCGATCGTGATTGAAGACGCTCTCGAGAGCTTTAAAGCTGGCAACAACCCGCAACCCGTCTTCTTCTATTGCTCACGAAATGCAGCAGAACCTACACGCGCTGATCCTAAAGTAATCCTTGCCAGCCTTGCAAGACAACTCTCTTCTCCAGAGCTTGGAAACCGCCTGCTGAAACCTGCTGTTGACCTTTTTAATATCAAAGAAGCTGATGGATTCGCCTCCGGGTCGCTCGAGCTAGAAGAAAGCTGCAAACTTATCATGCAGCTCATTGAACAATATCCTCTAACAACGATAGTGATAGACGCCATGGATGAGTGTGACCCTAGCAAGCGGCGCGAATTGCTCAAAACTTTAGAACAAATTCTTCGGGACTCATCTAGCTTAGTAAAGATGTTCGTATCAAGTCGGGATGACCAGGACATCGTCCTGCGTTTGCACAATTATCCAAATATTGAGATAAGTTCCCAAAGAAACGCCGATGACATCATGCGGTACGTAAGAAGCCAGACGGAGCAACTCATCCAAGAAAAAGAGCTGTTACAGTACAGCACCTCTCAAGCGGAGATGAAAGAGCTTATTATAAACAAGGTGATCGAAGACGCAAATGGAATGTAAGTTTTCTGACCACGCAGTATGACTGTGTTAACCTGATTTCTAGGTTCCGATGGGCAAGTATGCAATTGCAACATCTTTGCTCATTCGATCTCGATGACGACATCAAAAACAGCCTTGGTCGACTTCCACCAGACCTACATACTCTCTACGCTGAAATTTACAACCTCCTTTCCACTAAACCAGGCGAGGTCCAAGCGGCCGTTTTCAAAAATGTCCTCCGGTGGCTATTATGTGCGCAAAGGACACTTAATACCTCAGAATTCTTAGCCGCAGTCTCAATGAACCCACAAACAGGGGATAACAGGAACAAAATATCAAAAGATATCATCCTGAAGACTTGCAACAACTTTGTTGTTTTTGATTCCCAGCAAGATACATTTCGCTTTGCCCACATATCAGTTAGAGAGTTCTTAGAGCAGCGACAAGAATACAGCAACTCGGCATCAAACGCTTTGGCGGCAGAAATCTGTCTCTGGACCATACTGTCTACAAATCCAAACTCCGGCACTCAGCGCTTGCTCTCCAAGCTTGGCTGGTATGCAAAAGCCACATCAATAAGTTTTGATGGATTCCGCGAATACTCAGATTTTCACTGGGCCACACATTGTCAGTTGGCCGCGAACGAAAGGAGTTCAGGTAGATTGAAAACTGCGTTTCAATATGTCGTATCTGGTGACAGCGGGCCAGCTTCTTGTATTGGATTCTGGAATGCTCGACTCCAGGACTGCCGGAAACCGGGCCAACTAAGATATGCAGTGGTGACTGCAGACCTAGTATCAGCTGCAGGGTTGTTTGTTTCCTGTGCTTTCGATTTCCACGAGACAATTGAAGACATCGTACGAAAAGAAATTTTGAAAGATCTCTGGACACACGGACTAGGTCACAGACTTCTACTTGTCGCAGTGAGGAACGGAAGTTGTAAGGCGCTGAGAAGTCTGTTAGAGCAAGACAGAAATAATACTACAATTGCTGAAGAGATCGTCGTGGCTGCTGCTAGAAATTGGAATAGTGGAAAGGGTCTGATGACAGTCCTTCTCGACCAGCGCGGAGCAGACATCTCAATTACTGAAGAAGTAGTCAAAGCAGCTGCAGCGAACAATTGGAATGGCAAG